TCGGGAAATCGTCTGCATATCGGGCACCGTCCATCTTGAGCAAGCCATATGAGAATGCACCCTCTATGGTATACATGGTCGCATGGAAGGGTAGTAGCGGTCAATTCAGAGCACATTAGGTCGCTACACACCATGCAGTAGTCACTTTTTGGAGACATGATACTTGCGAGGTTCCGGGATATCGCATGACGGGGTTCGAACTCGTATTTGTGCTCTCCCCAATGGGTCAAGAAATGCCGAAAGCCATGCTTCGCCATGAGCTTCGGCAGCAAGGTTATAGTTGTTTCCTGTGCGCATGGCGAGGTCGACTCGGGTCTGCTCTGTGTCAACCAACCCCATTCTCTGCCTTGGGGGTCCCAGTCGTCGAAATCGCTTGGCCAGTCTTCATCCGCCAACAAGACTTTCCTGATGTAGTTGTCCAGCAAAATTGCTGCATTGGCGTCGAACACACAGGATACATGCAGAGTAAGCAGTATTCGCCGCATGGTTGCAATGTTATGGGCGTACAAAAATCCAGACGGCGAAGTATTCAAAGTATCTTTATTGCGGGCGTGACGGCAGGAACCAATTGCGAAGGGATGTCTATTAGGATCTTTTTTTTATTTATGACGCCTTTTTAAATGGCAATTTCATTCCAAAAAGCATAGTAGTGGACAATAATCAACCGAGATAAGGTAGATGTCACCTTTCTTTTGCGGAAAAAGAAAGAAAAATAAATAAATAATAAAAATAAAAATAAAAAATAAAAATGAATTCACAGTAATTTCTTGACCCACAAGTCATGTGGGTCGGTCCCGCTGTCTGGCCTAACCCTAAAGCAAGCTTGAAATATATGACGGGGCCAATGCAATGTGCCAATCCCCTGGTTTGCAGGTTTACTGGAGCGACATTCTTGAAAAAGACCCGTTGTGCCACTTATGGCGTATAGTCGTATGGTCGTCTGTCCATCAGCCCCGAGACTTGGGTAGCCCTTGTGCTAGGCAGCGCAACTGTAGCCTCCCCACTAGCTGCGCGCCCCCGCCTTTTCTGCCTATTCAAACTCTGAGCCATTCCGGTAGAGTTTGCTAGATTTTGTAAAAAATAAAAAATAAAATTAGTTTCTTAGACTGGACATGAATGTGGGTGTGGGGGCGACCCCGCTATCGCGCCTAAGACTAATGCCCTCGATTACAGAAGGTGCCAATATGCTTGCTATTTAGTAAGTAGCGGCCGAAATTGGCTTCCATGTCGGAAGGATAGAGATACTCTTTCAAACCCTAATCACATGGTCCGCTAATCCATAGTTGTAGATCACGTTCTGATATTCAACAGTGAAATGTCAAATGGACGAGCTGTAATGTGATGTAAAGTACGCTGTATGGTATGAAGGAATGGGGAATCGGCCATATATCTCATTCCTATAGCAAATGCAGAGCTTGGTATACAGCACATTGATGTTACAATCATCGGTGACTTGTTAAGTCTGCTATGGTCCGAATCGTCATGGAATTGTTTTTAGGGCGCTATGACACAATGTGTAGAGCTCGCAACGTTTTCGCTTGATATAAATTTTCGGTTAAATAAGAAAAGTTCGAGTAAGAAATTCGATCGTTAGTTTCATAAGAGCGATTCTACACGGAGTACTGTTATATTTAGGACATTTTATTTAGGAAGATATATTTAGGATAGGCTGTTCGGAAAATCAGATAAATCGATACAGTGGCCCCTTCCCCACCTAAGGGCTCTCAATGCGGCCCTTGGAGAGGTGGAGAGGTTTCATTAGAATACAGCGATGGATGTATGCTGGGTCTAGTATTATCAAGCATTTTTCAATGGGATCCCCGACCTCTCCGAGGATACAGACCAGCTGCAGGGCATGAGCCTTGGAATTCAGTCGGATGGCGTCATTATTGTTGAGCCCGAGTAGTTCGATACTTTCGTGTTTCGAAATAGAATGGAGGAGGCCTAATCGGGATGATGAGGGACGAACCAACGAATATCCAGGACGGTTTTCTTTTATTTATCTTAGCCTACAACAATTTATTCTACGTTTTTAGACTCTGACCTATTAACGGGCGTAAACCCGTAGACTGATATAGAAACAACGGTCCATAAATAAAGCAAATCAGAGAGCCATATTAGGAAGATACCTAGACAGTTATAAAAGAATAACAGTCTACCGTGACTTGTTTAGGTATCTTTGGGAAGACATGCCGAAAACAAAAATTAAACGCAGTGACTTCATCGATGGCAGAAAAGAAGAGCTTACGATTTACGATGGAGGAGGACTCTGTATACAGCTCCTTGTGCAGCGCACCATGGATGAAGACACCTTGGCTCGATTTTTACAGTACTGCTGGCATGAAGCCTGCCCAGTTGATGAACTTGATCACCCTAGGCGGGTCTATGATATGATGAAGGATCGGCTGAGAGCCGATAAAACGCTGCACTATATAATTGGGGAAGCTCTCCGGCATAACAACGAGACTTCGAATCCTATAATACAGAACAAGGCACTTGAGACGAACCCATCAAATGCGGAAGCGTTGAAGCGCACCACGCATTCTTTCGAGAGCCGGCGGAAGTGCACGACCCTTGTACTTACACTAATTATACTTACAATTATATTTGGTATCTGGCTCGCCTTGGAGAGAAACAGCACGTGGGAGATATCTGATATTGAGAGCCTTCAACTAGCAGCCTGTGCGCGGGTCAGAGCTGTTATCACTATTATCAATAATCAGCTTACTTAAAAAGATACGTAGCATAGTAATTTTTCGGTTTTCGAGGTCGTAATGTTGGAAGGAAACTACCTAGGATCGCACTAAACTGGTGGCTGCTCGAATACCTCTTTTTCTGAGAGCCACGATGAGGCTTGCGCTAGAAAGGGGTGGGTCTATTAGCTCGGCTTTCTAGAATTGTAGGACGAATAACTGGCATTTTTGGCTCTTTCAGTCAAGCAGCAAGGCTAGTGACATAACGTTAGAATTTTACGAGTTGAATAAGGCCTTATATTTTGATGTCAAGACGAAGCCCCTCATCTAATAATGAGCCCGATCTCTCGTAGATAGAGAACAACGAAAGCTATGATCATTCGTTATTTACCACCGTGGAAAGAAACCACTCTTGTCTTTTCCTCTGCCCACGTTGAGCGGACATTCTCGTCTAAACATAACATCACACTTGATGGACCGACTACATCCACACGTTTTCCATCCGAGGGCATTCAATACTCCTTGGAATATAAAAGCCTCGGAATATCTGAGTTTCTCTTATACCCTTGTTAGCATCCGTAACCCTTTAACACAGTTCCTCTCGCTTTTAAAAGCTTTATTAGAAGTTGAGCCCATAGATCATAGTGCCTCAACTTATTGGCGCGATACACCTACTGCGTTGGGCTTAATAATGCAAGTTAGACGAGGAGTTCGAGGTCCGAAATTTGTCTCGCCGTTGTCACCCAGTTTTGAGGAGTCTCTTGTCGGCATTGGTCTAAGCTACAGCCAGACATCTAGTTCAAAGGTTCCAGTGCCTTATAAATGATAATATATTATCTTTGCGACATGGCACAATTTCTCTTTGCCGTAGCTCCAAACTACAGTACGCACTCTTGGCCTCGCTTTAGACCCTACATTCTATGCGGCGACTCAAGACATGCCCTAGAAAACTATGAATAGCTTCTCGTGTGACCATATGAAAAATAAATTAATTCTCTCTGGTGTGCACCTCTAAATAATAAGATAAGGCTTTTCGCCATGCCCAGAGCCTTAATATCTTTCATTATTTTCGCACGCACTGAACTCAGACTGCTGTCAAGCAATAGTGACGACGGTTTGACATAGAACAAACGGAGGGATACCTACTATGCCAAGACACTTAAAGATGTCCTTGGTGGTAGTAGCCTGTGTAAATAGATCTGGGCCATCCCAACGCACTTTATCGGGATTTTCAGTAAGAGCATAGTAGAGAGGGATTCCACAGTCAAAGTATCCAGTGTAGTATTAGCGATCGCGCCTCGTGGCAAAAAACTGGTATCAGATTAAGAACTATTGAAGAGCATACATGCCGTTGCTTGAGGAAAGCTCCATCGTTTTAGGGTTCCGGTTTGGTCATAACGAGGATTAGATAGAGGAGGGGTATAATCTTGATGGCTTGCTTTTGATTTACTAGTGCTCTGTAATATATCAAGATCGAGCACAATGGCCCATGGTAATGGTGGCGGTCTAAGTTTGGCCCGAGGAGAAATCTTCGAGTGGCTATTTACGACTAGATTTTATCTTGGTTTTCCAAGGCGGACTTAGGCCGAACTCTATTTAATTTGAAATCTCCTGGACTTCGTAGCTGCTTTGTAACGAGCAGATCAAAGCCATGACCATCTGGAAAATCCGTTACCAAAATGAACATATCCGAACTTTTTCTACCACGGCACAGGCATCAATCTAGCCTGTCTATCAACATAACATATTCTCTAATACGGCCTGAACAGGGTAAGCTGCCTGATCATTTGCCGAGTACGCATACTCTGGAGTGGACCCCCGGTCAAACCGAGACCAATAGAGATTAATCTCCACCGGCTATCCTATTCTGGCCTCCCAACCACTCTAATCGTTCACACGAGCTGGGTCATAATTCGCGTCGGACCATTGGTTCGCCTTGTGTTTTATTCAATTCGAACAAATATCACCAAAATAAAATCAGAGACCGTCGTGACAAGATTATATTATTTAAATATCAGAAATTTCACCAGTGATAATAAACAACACCGATGAACGCAGTTTTACTAAACTGATTCTCTGTGTTAACTGCTCATACGTAGTCTACAATAGGCTAGACAGTCTCGCTTACCGAGAAATCAACTGAAAAGACTGAAAATAGTCATACCAAAAGAGCCCCCGAGATAATACCAAACTGCTTGTCTATCTAGAAGGATCACAACCTCGTCGCTTTATTCACCCTGGTACTGCACGTACAGAGACAAGCTTATCGTGGGGCCAACTACGTAGCCAAATATCAATCAGATTTAACTAGCAACCGACGGTCCAATCCGCCCAAGGAACAGACAGCCGGTCAGAAAACCATAACCCGTTGTATGTGTCAGGCAACCCAAACAAATTAGACGAATAGCCCATCTTAAAATTCTGTAGTGCAGAATACCGTAAGCCCTCACCATGCAGCCACCAGGAGCCTTCAGTGGCGTGGAGAGTGCTTTCGGTATCTTCAAACAGAGGCTCCAAGTCCTCGCCAATAGGTGTACTGGGGACTTTAGAATCTGCCGAGGCTTCCTTTCTCACCGGAGACCGCTTTCGCTTTATGGGTGAGAACCTATAGTCTGGGTGCGCTTCAGCATGACCCAGACGCTCCATATGGGCTAGCATTTCATATTTCTGTCGGACATCAGGCGTTTCCATATTCCAGCTCCGCCCTGCGATAGCAGAGACAACCGAGTGACTCTTCTTCTCTAGAGCACTCTTCTTTAGCACACTCTCGATGCGCCGTGCATAGGCTGGTCCATCTTACGAGTTCGAATAGTGGTAGTTGTTCGAATTCGAGACGCTGGAGCCGTAGTCGCGGGAGCAATAGTGATTACCCTGTTCCTTTGTCATTACCACACCAAATACTTCTTAATTAGTACCTAATATGGAAGAGGGTTCACGGCAGATCATGAAGTACGAGGAACGAGACAGGACTTGAAGGCTTGTTGTGACATACCTGGCTGTTCATGCCAGAGCTGGTGATGTTGTATCCCTTGTTGGAAGACATGTTGGCAGAATACGGACAGAGAATAATTATCAAGGTAGCTGTCAATAGTGTAGGTAGATGGAAAAGGAGGGGGAAAGAGGATATTCCAGGACGAGGGGTAATTTGGGTGGATCGTCGGCGCCGGGGGCAAAGTAGTTTCTCGATTTTGATTCGACGATCTGAGGAGCGGTACTCCAGAGTGGCGTACCACAACTAGACGAGTCTCATTCGACAACGCGTCTCCCAATACGTTTTGCGTGTTCAAAATCGGTTCCGCATTCTCTCCAAAATACGGAGGTTCCGCTCTTTCTTCCACTTCCTTACATATTCCTGAATCTCAGCTTCTTGACCAGCTCGACGACATGTTAGCCTCACGAAAGGTGGGTTATTGCTTCATTCCGAGTAGTTTGAATCGGCGCTTGCAACTAAAAATCTTATTCAGCGCGCGTCTTCACCTGTCGAGGCGGACCAGAAGAAACCGAGGGAGAAGGCCCGTACAAGACCCAACCCAAAGGAGGCCGTCAAAAAAGATGTTGGGACTTGCTCAATGGACAAGAAGCAGATTGGAGACCGCGTCAAAGCAGCACTGGCTTTGAACAAGTACGCGCTCAACCGGACAGTCATAAATGTAAGTCACAGATTTGGTAGAAACGCGCAAAGCTAACACTTGACAGCTCCAAATAGACACGGCATTCTTCCGCACCTTCTTCGTTGATAATGATAAGCTCAGCAAACCAGTATCAATCACCCCTACGGAGTTCGACGACACTTCCCCCGTGGTCGTTGTAGAATTCAGCCATCACCAAGCAGCCGAGTTGCTCGGGGTTAGCAAGGTGAAGGGAGGAAATAGGCTAAGTACAACGCACCTGGCGGCTATGTGTGTTGTATTTTATCCCGGCAGAGGCACAGCCAAGATCTGGCTGTCCGTGTAGCGTTTGGTCTTCTTTTCAGGCAGCTTTCATGATGCAAAACGCATAGAAAGCCACAATATTTTCTAACTAGAAAGATGGTGGCAGCAAAGGGTTCAATTTGGTTTGTCTGATTAAGATCGAGATGCTCATGTGATTTTTCGAAACAAAAGAACGGAGCCGTTCATTCATAGATTTCGCATGTTTTTAGCGAAGTTGAAGCAGAATGCATGATAAAGATTCTGTCCTCATATTGTGTATGAGTTTCTTGAGATTGTCACCACATTGGCGGTGGAAGGGGATCTCTTTTCAGCACAAGTCTTTCTGGGAATTGGGTCAAAGATGACATGGCGAAAATGACGGAGGAAACAGTGGGGAACTAGTGGGGAATTAGTGATTGTAACGATATGCAGAAAAGTTTAATCTTGAGTTATTCAATTCTGTCGGATTGACAGATACTGGTATGTGCTAGTATTGAGGTGTCCCATTGAGATTCATTGGTAGTTGTATCTATCTGGATCTTGCTGTTGAAGCGTTATCAGATCTCAGGAGTAGTTCCTAGCGTGTTACGACGCTGGTATGCCGAGCGTACCCCGTTTACCATACAGAGACAAAGAGAGAATGGGTCTGTACTTGATGAGTAACCCTGTCCTTAGTGGTAAAATACCAACCCCTCAGTTCGACACAAGAGTCGTTTCTGCCTACTGTAATGTCGATGACCCCCCAATGTACTACGACCAATACCATTACCGTTCTGCCAGTTTTACAGAGCGGTGAACCCAATTGGTTAGACTCCGAGAATATTGTCTTGTAATCAAGTCGTCAGTCAAACATGTACAAGGGGCAAATCTCCCGCTCGAATGCTTTTAGCTTCCCACTGCATTTCACTGTTCCTTGATAATGAGTGCCAGTTTCGGTGTCCCGTCCTATTTGAAACACCCCGAACAGGTGGACGAGTTGGCACTGTTTCATGACAACTGGGCTGTGCCTAGTATAGCACTTCCTTCTTTCGAGGCGGCTATCCCTGGAGGTTCACTCACACCCCTAGGAGATAGAGCAAATGCCAAAGTTCCCATCCCGCGAAATGCTCAACGCACCAATTGGATTAACAGAGGTCGAGTGAGTCGAGCTTGTGAAAATTGTCGCGATCAAAAGGCCAAATGCAGCGGACAACGCCCAGTTTGCCATCGGTGTCAAGATGCCGGCGTTGTGTGTTCTTATGGCGACCGGAAGAAGGAAAATATGGCCAAGTGGGTGACACATTGACCAAGTTAGGACGCTTCTAATAGAATTAGGCAGTTGAATGATCTGACTTCGCAGGTTGACACGCTTGAATCCCTGCTGCGTGATATCTATCCCAGGCTCGATGTTCTATCATCCCAGCTAGTGGATCAGACACTGAAGGAAATACGCTCTCGAACTCCGCTCCCCCAGTCCAATCCTGCTGTTCCTAACTTGCCCACCCTCCTACCAAGCCATACTTGGCAGGTGAACCCTTCGTTGTCCTTCACAGATGCTAGCCTGGGCTCTCCGTTTGGTACTGCGGAGTACACAGACGAGGACTATAATCGGGATGACAAGGTACAGGCCATGGGTTTCGTTGGCGAACACTCGGAGATGGCATGGTTGTACAGACTTAAACGCGACCTCGATCAAGATAGCTTTCCACCAATCGAGGAGACCCCTGGACGCCCTGCGATTTCCTCCGTGAATTACTTCCAAGATGATTCAGACCTCTTATTGCCCGACACCATCGACTTCACACACTGGCCCCCGCAACACCTTGCTGACAACCTCGTTGACGCTTACTTTTACGCCGTGCATCCTGCATTCCCGATATTCGGCAAGGTCACGTTCCTGCACCAATACCGGTCCTTTTACTCAAATCCGAATTTGCGACCTGGCAAGAGATGGCTGGCATTGCTAAACTTGGTCTTTGCTATTGCGACGAGATATGCAGTCCTGACCGATCAGCTCCAGCCGGACCAGGATGATCATCAGACATTCTTTGCACGGGCCTGGAGTCTGAGTGTAGGCAAAGTCGCATTGCTGGACCATCCGGACCTGCAACAGGTGCAGGTTGAGGGATTGGCCGCGTTCTATCTTCTGTCTATTGGGCAAGTCAATAGGTCGGTATTTGTATCTGTGTATATGCGGAAGCTTTCTGATATGTGATATCATCTTCTAGATCTTGGAGAATTATTGGGATCGCGATTCGATCGGCGGTGACAATGGGTCTGAATCTTCGGAGCGAGAGCGAGAGTGTCCCGCAATTCTCGAAAGAAATTCGCTACCGTTTATGGTGGGCGCTTTTCATGCTAGATACAGTTCTTTGCGAGATGACCGGTCGTCCTCTAAGCATGAGAGAAATATTCTACACGACACCCCTTCCAGCACCATTCCAAGAAGAGGATTTTCGGGATGATCGGGTCGTGCAGCTTATCACCAGACAAGAGATTCGAGGTGCATTCGTTACTTCCTTGCTTCCTAATAGCACCTTGACTCCTCTGCAGGATGGTGTGAGTCGCAAGCATCCGCCCCAACTGGGATTCAGTCAAAGAAAGCGGGAGATCCGAACCCCTCAAGCACTGGTTGAGAGTCAAGCACCTAGTCTAACACCAAATACGTCTCTCTACTTTTTATACGCGGTGGATCTAGCCCATCTCCTACGAGAGACGATAAACATCCTATATGCCCCTAGAGCGACGCGATTATCGCGTCGCGAGATTGAAACAGCAATTTCTACCTTCAATGACCGCGCTGACGACTGGCTTTCTCATCTACCAGCCGAATTCAATTTTGCAACGCCAAACACCAATGTAGCACAGCCATTCACACAGCAAAGTGCCAGTCTCGCGTTCAGATTCTACGCCACTAAATTGATCATCACGCAACCCTCTCTCCGTCTCTGCCAGTCTTCGACGGAACCAAGATCTCCAGGGGCAACATGCGACGATATGGCGACGATATGCGTCCAGACCGCGTGTCAAATGCTAGACTTACTACCTGAGTCAGCAGATACTTATTGGCTGTATAGCATTGCTCCATGGTGGTGTGTCCTCCACAATATTATGCAGTCGACGACTATTCTCCTTGTCGAGCTCTTTACTCGCACTCATCTGGGTACAGCCAAGGCCACAAGCCTTATCCAACGAGTGCAGAAAGCGACTCGATGGCTGAATGAGATGTCTGCTAAAGATCCTTCCTCGCAGCGTGCCTGGTCGGTTTGTACTGATATTCTCTCGCGGCATGGTTTGAAGTTTTGGCCTTGATGCTGAATGTCTTGCGCCCGCTTCTGCTTATGGACGGTCATGGTCACTTTACGTCTGGGATTTTGTTTCTGATTATGCCATATCTCGCGAAATATTGGTATGGTGCCGTAGTGCATTTCTAATTTTTATTATTATTATAGTACAATATATAACGATGACTCATCCATGGCAGTACTATGATTACGATGACGGTTCTGCTGGAACTATGATGCGATGACCTACATTGGTTTAGCGCCACGGATTTACCTTCTGCGAATTAAGTAGCAAGAGTGTGGACGCATACATGTAACTGGTTTCGAAAACTACTGTATCAGATACTCGCAAACCTTTTCTCTTGATCAGAATCCGTCGTACCAGTTACACTGACACTAAGAAAGTGGGGGAATTACATTCATGCAACAATGGGCTACGCCATGATGACGTCACTTCTCATAATATAGAAAGCTGGAGCCCAGCTCTATAGAAGTCGTGTTCCTCGGCGCTACGTCTGCCACTTTTTGCTTTGGTCTGTTTTTGTCCAAAATATGGTGTTTACACCGTCCCAACAATACCTTCAAATTCATATTCAGGATGACTTGAAATTTGATATCCGTATTGACAATGCGGATCTTGACAGGTACTTGTTGCGTTTGGCCTATAATCAAACTTTCTTATTTCTTAGCCTTGCAAAGCGGTCATTTATATCAGAGGGAGATCGATGTGATATTTTGACCTCTGACGATCTCAACGACATGATTATCCGGCACAAGGGTGGTAGACGGTCCATCTGCATCTGTGGAGAGGCAGGCTCTATGTACAGGGCTCAAGGCAGCGTCGACCTTGTTGACGACTTAAATGGTACTAGAATATGTACTCTCATCTGGAGAGCCGCTATGTATCCCGTGAAAGAAACGATTTCAAGAAACTTAACCAGGATACAAGATACACGGTTGAAATTGGAGGGTGGAACAAGTCTGGGGTTATGGGAAATATCCCGGTAAAAATTGAGGAGCAATTTTGATTGAATTGCAATGACGTTCTCCAAGTGCCTTTGTCCTCTTTACTCAATCCGCTCTACTGTACATAGAAATAAGCTCTTCCCATGCGTTTTGGCCGTCGGGTGGTTAGCCGTCGTGCGGTGGGATACTTTTGTATTGGGTGAAAGTCTTGTCACTTGGCGCTCTAAATCAGTTCTTTTGGAGCGGAGGATCGAGCTCTGACTATTCTTTGCTCGGCTTCTGATGGCTGTGTATAGTACGCTTACTGAATAGTCTGTGTGTTTGACAGCGTGTACTACTGTATCAACAAAATGGACTACGGAAACCTCGGAGGTTCATTAATTCAAAGCCCAGTGATTATCTTCTGCCGCCAACTTTCCAAGATACCATAGTCCTAGTAGTACTGAGAGGCTTCCAACACCTCCACTTCTCCATAGTACAGGCGTGGCAACAGCTAGACGGCCATATCCATCCAAACGTTTGACGGCGACAAGCTCAAGATCTGAGAGGATAAATCCATGCCCGACCGTATGCTGATCCATATAGAAGTTCACTTGCGCCAACATTTGCTTATACTCTCGATTATCAGCTAGATTCTGCAAAAACTGCATTTCTGATCTCCACTTCCATGAAACTTTCAAGTCCTCAGGGGCTCGATTGACACCCATTGAGAGACTAGCGCCGACTATGATAAACGCAGCATCCGGTCTGAATTGGTCAATGATCCTCGCAGAACCCCCTCCGTCTATCGTGACTTTAGAGAGCTGTTGTACCCGAAGTTGCGGAGAAAATTCTTCAAAACCGGCTCTAAGGGCGGACGTGTTGCGAATATGAAACCGAACTTGTCAAGAGTTTTGGAAAGCTTGTGGTTCGTCTATCGTCCTTGCCTTGTTTCCGATGATCTAACGATTCTTTTCCTCAGAAGGAGGACCAGACACAAGGTCTTCCCCCAAGTACAAAATATTATTGATTTCAGGACCCCAAAGAACAAAGCAAACTGGTACGATATTGGATCACGAGAGGGGTACTGCACATGCACACTGGCTTATGCTACTCATTGCACATGCCTCGCTATTTGGAGCTGCGGCCACTCACACTTTCTCTATCGTTATACCTGCATGGCGGAAATGGCCTTCAGCGCTCTGCTGTTTTGCATCAACATCATGGATGCACTGTCGAAGGAACGCGTGAAACCCTTGGTCGGGATCATTTCCATAACTTGGCCATGCTTTCTTGATGTAAGCCCTCTGCTCAGCGAAAAATTCCTCTATGGGATTGAAATCTGGAGAGTAAGGCGGGAGGTACAGCAACCTTACCCCCGCATCAGAGTACAACTGCTTAACTCGGTCCGAGTGATGGAAGGCTGCGTTATCCATAATAAAGACGGATTTTTGTGCCGGCCATCTCCCACAGTGCTGGAGGAGCTGCTCAATAAAGGATTCGAACAACACAGCATCCGTGGACCCTTTGAAAATACGAGACAAAAGGATACCCTGTTTAGTATATGCTGGCAGTATCTGGTAGTGTTGGCCCCGATGAAATTTAGACACCTGCACTGGGGTTTGAAACGGTATTTGGAGACTTTGTGGCCTACAGACTCAAGTTTTGACCTGGGATCATTTCTCTCAAATCTTGCGTTGAGTATGGTGAGCCACTTTCATCAACTGTTGAAAGAAAGCAACGCCGCAAAAATGTGATTCCTACATATTGTTGAGTTTGCAATTAAATCGCTCAAGGCGGTGGCACTCTACATCTTCCTGTTTTAGCCACGGTCACCTTCTCTTTCATGAGGGTTGAAGTGCTTCAACAGATGCCAAAATAATAGGTTGGAAAATTTCTGGCTGACAGAAACGCTGGACTGTACCTGCGGTTGGCTGGAGGATCCTTGGTCTCGCTCGAATCAATCCTGCTCATCCTTGGCCCCGCGCCGCTGAACGTTGTTTCTTCCCTGTCTACTCGCAGCCAGCTAATGTTGCTTTTACTAGAATCTCTACTCCCTTACCGCACAGATATTGACATACTCTCAAGCTCAGGATGAGGATTGTCCTTCTTTGGAGGGCATAAACAAAGTCCAGAGCTTATTGGAAAGTTTCCATAGGAAACCGAGCCTAGGACAACCATGTGAAATGTGCAACCAGGCCCACGAGCTAGGTTCGCGTGATCGCCACCCCCTCGCAAGATTGCAACGCTACTATCACATTGATGAGACTCTGGATACAAATAGCGCCCGACAGACCAATCAAACACAATGCGCGAATTTAGACAGACGCAGGTACGGTTCTGCGATGCAGATCCCAGCGACGACCCATGGGACACTAGATCAAGGAGGTTCTATTTATGGCCCGGAGAAGAAGTGAAGGATTTGCAAAGGTCCAGACCGATCCACAAGCCCAAACTTGACGGCCGTCAGTGTCTGATGGAAAAGGACTTTGTTGCGTAGAGGGTACGGCCGAGGTACGGTCCAGGCAGGTGAGGTATTTGGAATATCGGCGGAATTTTGGCAACAGAATGGTAGCCTAAATCCCGATCCGTGGTTATGTTTTCCTGGTTCCTGTCACAGGAGAATAATTCTCCTGTCAAGTGGCAAATTGCTTCTTGTCTATCAGGTCTGTCGAATGTTCTAGAAGCTCTGTCTTCTGTCCTGCATAAAGCTTTCCCGTAGAGATTGTACTCTCTGAATCCGACACAACCCCCTCAATCGTCAGTCCCATATCCCTAGCGGATAGCGTGTGGAAACTATCCGACCATGGACAGATCTCATGAGCTTATGTAAAAATATCTCCGGTTTTTGCACTAAAACCGAGGAACCGATTGGCTGCCGGAAATGGGTTGAGGTTGTGGGCCGGCGGCCCCTAAACTTTATCTCAATTACCCTCCACATCTTGATTACGACTGTAGCGAGAGAGAATCTTTCTAGTACACTGCTGGTCTGTTCCAATACCCCATACATGAACAGGTCGACACTCTCGTGATTCTGCCCCAATTCTCTGGGCTTCTCTTTTGGGCTGTAGGGCTTAATCACGAGCAACCTAGAAAGCAAGTGAGGCAGCAGCCCGGGCCTGAATCCTTCATGACCACCGCATTCTCTCACCGAGCAGGCGATTCCATGGGTCGTCCAGACTAAGTGGTGGAAATGATTTGCGGTTCCGCTGATGATCGTCAGCTGCCCTCGTGATTCCACGGTCTCTGTCTAACTAAATTTCCTCCTGACTTGGGTGTAGTTCAAAACAAATCGTACGCTTCACCCCAAAGATTACCCTGCTTTCGACCATCGACCCTATCAAATCCAAGCAGACGTATTACCTTGAGCCAACAAGAATGCCGTACTTCCATTTTCCCAGACCCCCCTTCTAATGTCCTGTCTCCCTACGGGAACACTCATAGTATCGCGAATCCTAATGCGCTATCCGCAGTACTTACCGGGCCACATAACACTCCGATGAAATCCTCCTGGTTTTGCATGACAAGGATGAAAATGTGTAGGCGGGTCTGTTCCAAGGGCACCACCATCGTGCTCGAGTCCTTTGACTTTGGGACATCCTCTATATTATTGTCATTCCAAAGAAGGGCGATTGCTACTACCTCTACGGAATACATGAAACGATATACAACTACGCTTATATTCCTCATGCTGAGGCTTCATTGCTGATCACCGCCTTTATTATAGTAACATTTACTTGGACTAGTGTATCGTGGTAGTTGGCCTCTGTTCCTTGGACATCGCAATGTAATGCTCCAGCCGATAAATGCTGCTAAAGTGCACGCTCTGTTCGCCGGTATCTCAGCTTCCTAGCAGCACAGACACGATGCACATAGTCCCACCTCCAGGATGACGAACGTGTTCTTTTAGGCCGGCACGGAAGCGGTGCTGGCGTCAAGCGGTCTGTGACAAAGGGTCAGTGTGTAATATGAGACGATTAAGTGTTTCGTACCTGAAATTGGGATCGTTTGAGTTGGCGTTTTGCTGTCATCGGGCTGGTTAGGGTCGGCCGCTAGAATTGTTTGGAACCATTTGTCAATGTTCCTTTGCGTAGGTGTCTTGGCCGAAAGACTCGACCGTGAAGCGCTACCGACCACGGAGCGCCGTACGGCGCCTGCTTGCTTTTGTTTGCTTGGATTTGGGGGAAATTTGGCACCAGTGCGACTCTGCTTCCGCAGGATATGGTACTTTTTTCCTCGTAAAGACTCAACGCTTCGATGCACCTGGTATTCTTCATAATATGCGTCGGAGAGAGCTTTCCACGACAGCTCCGGATGAGCATCCAACCATGGAAGAAGGTTTTTCTCCTCCCATTCTGGCCAGCCGCAAGCGTTACGTGGGGACATGGTTATGCTTGGGTAGTTGGCAGAAGTGGTCAGAACAGGTGAAGAAAACTGCAGAAAGTAAACTTGAAGATGTAGGGTTGTTGAGTTTAAAAGATTGAAGTGTGGCAGATAAAATTGACTTCTGTGTGTTTATGAGATTTGACCCAAACAAGCCCTCATTTTTTGATGCAACGCACATCGTTGAGAATTAACAACGTTGAACGCGGCCACAAGAGTCCGTTCTTGTCGACAATTTCCCGTTTTTTCACCCATTGTTGAATTCTATTGTCTGATCCGCCTCTTAGTGAGTCATTGTTAAAAAATGTGCAGATTCAGCAATAGATATCTACGGGTAGAAAGTAGGAATGAAATTGCGTGCACTTGCGGTCCTCTCTTCAATTGCGAGCAAGCAAACAGCCAATCCTGATCCCGCGATACAACATGCTATAAAACCCGAGCGCCTCCTCCTACAACAGAAAACCAGAAGTAGGACCACTCCTCACCCCAGCGTAACTCAGAACCAAGTATGGGCGGAATTCGGAAAGTCTCGCACACTCCTCGACGACACAACTTTCGAAGCCGATTGCAACGTGCATTGTCCTTGTCGTCCTCCGATTCTGTGGATACTGGTAGTCCATCCAGATCCGCTACAGGCGATACCACAGAGGACGATTCATCCCCTCAGGAATAACACGACTCTGTCGACCAGGACAATAGCACCTCGGCCGAGGAGAGTGAGCAAGAAGCTGTACGACAGCGGAAGACTGTGTTTGGACACCAAAGGGACTTGGAACCACGCGGGCAGACTCAGCTTTCCGGAGATGGCAGTTCGGTTGCTCTGGAATGCCTGACGGATTAAGTACAATCCTATCAAGCACATAATCAAGACTGGCCTGCTAACAACATCTAGACTAGATAACCGGATGCGGTCAGTTGTGGTCCATCTTGGGTGACAATGTAAAGCGCTAACTGTCTTCGCAGGTCTATTGAGCGCTCATCGCAGGACCAAGCCTCCTGGAATGAAACCATTCGCAACGATCTGGCGGACATTTTCGGTCGATTGGCAATCGTCGAAAGTGAGATCCAGAAGGGGACCAGGCAGGGTTCAAACAAAGCTACAGAGGGCCAGAAGATCGGCCGATCCTTGCGTCGGCAGCAGTGATGCGATTCAACCTTGATTTACTTGGGTATCACATCATGTATATCAGAGTAATATATCACTCTGTATTCGTCTTGCAGTATGACCAGCAGCTCAACCAGCAGAATATGAACACGCTCATCATTGACGCCGGATTGGACGGTCACTGGATAAGCGTCGATTCACTCAGTGCCAACCTAATGCCATGGCGAGCGATGTATCATTTGTTGTTGAATTGGGGTCTTCGTGTTTTATCTGTGCTTCCCTTAGCTGTGCAGACGGAAAACTATGACTGGTATATGTACTGTGCCGAGATGGTTCTTCTGAACCGACTGGCTATAGTCGCGAGCCAATATATGTTGCGGAGTAGATTAAATATTTGATTAGTTCCATCACTGCAGCTGATTTGTCTTTCCTGGCCCATTATGCTTGTACTCGGTCTGTATAAGTGATGAAATTTTCAAGAAAGCTAAAGTACAGTAGTGCTCAAGAATCCCACACATGTAGCAAGGTTCGATCCTTAGCAGTTGATGCTCGCACAGTAGCGCGACATCTCGACTTGCGATATCCCACTGAACGAGCAATTGCTATTTCTAATTGGGCTGGACCAGGATACTACGGCAAGCTTTGGCAGAACGCTGAGAAGAAATAATGACTATAATGCGCAAGAGAAGCGTGGGCTTCTCCACGAAACCCGTAGCGCAGATATTAGCGATATTTCGATCTGACCATTAGAAATGCGATTCTTTTACGGCATGGGAGACCACGTGAGTAACAAATCCACAGGCCAACGTGGCAAGGTATTTTCTCTCTTCTAAAGCATATCTACCGTCTCGGCCTTGAACGGTGTGATGCCTAATACTGTATCGAGGCGCAGGTGCTTGCGCGTGCTCAAATTACGAAAGCACGTAGCTCTGCCCTTGAGAGCAATTAACAGAATTTACAGCACTCACGGTTTGACACAGGACATATATAATCAGAACGTAGCAAAATGCTTCTTCAAGAACTATCTGCGCGTCGGATACAGTGGAAATCTTCTTCTGCAGGAAAGCGAGGACCTTCCAGACCAACGCACCCTAGTCGTTTCAGTTGGTTGTGCTTAATTCAGGTTGAGTACCCGGGACATGGTCATTGTTAGATTCAGAGATACTGGGGAGCATATCGTGGCCAAGCATACCCACGCCGCCCTGATCGGGCCATTCTGCCTGGATCATTCCGGAGCCCGGCAAGTACGTTGCCAGTCGTCTGTTCTGGAGGGCGTCGATTGCACTCCAGAATCGAGTGGTCGCAGAAACCAGCTCCGCGTGTGCCTGATCCAACACCAGCTGTATATCATTCCACGGGACCTGATCTTGCAGAGCGGTGTTCGTGGATTCCACCTGCTGCTGCAATTGCCAAATCTCACGCTGGAGCTTCTGCTGCTCGGCTAATGCAGTATCCCTTGCCGTGACAGCGATTTGCAATTCCGAACTCTTTTGCGCTTTCTCGGCTTTGATCTGGTCCAGCAACTGAGGAAGACCGTGGTTCTCTCCATCTCTCTCCTCAAGCACCTCTTGAAACTCCTCCTCAATATTGCTCATCACCAGGAGACACTTTCTATGCGACGCTCTGTCATTTCTTCTCTTCGGCTTCGTAATTGAGTATGTCTAGCAAGGTTAGTAAACAGTACATTCGAAGAAAAGGGGTGCCGCCGGGGCTGTTCTGGTCATATTGCAGGACGACCCAAAAGGTATCCATTGGCGTACCGGCTCTCTGTGTGAGTTCGTGTCTGGTCTGCATGACTTTCGTCTATTTTTAGACTTTGAACCAGTAAAACAAACGGAATAGGATGACGGTGCAGCACGCCGTTGTACTCCGTGAGAACTGAGGTCTGCGTTACTCCGAGGAGGTTTGGGATCCTTTGCCATGTTCGAACTTCTGCTTTCCTGAATCAACAGTGAATCAATAAGGTCCAGAAGGGTAAGGAAAGTATCAGCAGTGGCCTGCCGAGAATCTGGCATTATATAGAATAGTAAGAGGCAACTTAGGATCTGGAACAGAGCAAGGTTCTTACTAAACAGCTGCGTCGGGACGAGAACTCATACCTCAAAAGATTTTGGACTACTTCTTATGCCGGACTCTGTGGAGCGTTAGCGCGAACACACTAAGTATCTGCCCTCGATTGTACTGTCGGGGATGCGAGAAATTAGCCCGCAAAAAGATGCGCGTGGATGCACACTACCTTTTCATGGCAGGGAACGTAGGGCCAGCTTCGTATTTTTACTAGTAATATCACGCGTGAACTACGTTGTACTTTACTAAATAAATTCAGTTCAAGCGACAAGCCAAAAAGGGGCCAAGAGTGCAATGGAGCCGCGACAACGACTAAGCGTTTCCATAGTCGCCACCCCGAGCATTGACATCGGCTCCGCCCTTGAGCAGCAGTGCACAATCTGATCGTGTCCGATGTTACACGCGGCCTGTGAGGGTGTTTCCGTAGTCGCCACCCTCGGCGTTGACATTGGCTCCGCGCTCCAGCAGTAGTTCGCACCCAAAGCCATTTGCAGCAGTATCTTCGAATGGTCCGATCCCCCACGCTCCTTCTCCCGCGTGGCCCCACAGCTCCCTCATGGCGGCCTCGTGAGCTCGGTGGAGGCGGTGCTCCAGGTTGGAGTTACCGAACATCCGGCTGCCGTGCTGGGTGGATTTCTGGACAAGCTGCTTGACCTCATCGCCATTCTCGGCACCAAACCAGAATAGAACCTCACCGTCGCGACTGAGGCTACCATTGGCCTTGTGGAAGTACCAGGTCAGGTTTTCGCCAGGCCAGCTTGGGGAAGTCCTTCTTGAGGGTAATAAACAAGTTGTCGTCCACGCTGGCCAACTAGCTTGACTTGGTGATGGTGAATGCAGCCAGGTGGGCCATCGAAGAGCGCTCCTGAGGTGGTGGGGGGAGGACAACAGCGAGAGCGTCCATGGCGTTATCGTAGTAGATCTTGAAGTCACACTCCTCCAACTCCTCGGCGTAGCTGTCAACAACGGCACGAGCATCGAGACCCTCACGGTCACGGATTACCTCATCCTTCAGCCCCTCGCCGAACACGGACAGAGAAGCCTGGACGTCGGTCTTGTTGCCTCGGCGAATCCGCGTACCGGCACTGGAGTCGGTGAACAGCCCATTCAGAAGATCGGCAGGGTGGATGATGGCCACGCTGGACGAGCGCGGTAGGTCGCTCAGCAACTTCTTGCTCTCCTTGATCTTCAGGCGAGTTCCGTGACGGACCCACCATTGAGTCATCAGGTGGCAATACTCCTCGTCGAGATTGATGGCGGAGATATTCTCGCTGGTATCGCCATTGAACAGATCACCCTTCTCTGCGAGGTAAACGATCTTCAATGGTTGCAGAGCGCGGGCTAGCTCACCAGCAGCCACATCGGTATTGACACTGAGCATCTGGCCATCGGGGATTCTCGGCCATGGGAGTAGGATGGGCAGCCAGCAAGCCGCAATGGCCGACTCACTAGGGCTTTTCTTCACGCCCTTGATCTTACCCACCAGGTTATACTTGAGCTTGTCCAGGTAATCGGCCAAAAACACACCAGCGGCGATAGGCCGAGCACGGACACCCATATGCTCCAGCTCCTCGACCAACTTTATGTTCTCCTCCAGGACGAGCTTGCGCGCCAGCGACAGAGCCTTGCCATCCGTGACCTGGACCTTCAAATTGGGGCTCAACACCGGCGGCTTCCATCATGCGACTGAGCTGCGGACCAGCACCGTGGACGACGATCGGGTAAAGACCGACATGGTTCAGGAAAGCGAGGGCCGAGGACAGGGTCTGGAGGTGCTTGGTGATAATCGCACCACTGACCTTGATAACGGCGAACTGCTGGGAGGAAACGGAGGTGAAGTGGGACAGGTACTGCTGGGCCTCGTCCTTGGAACCAATGTTGCTCCGCAGATGGACGACGGTGCTCCGGGTCGAGCTCAGGAGAGGGCCGGCGGCGCGCGAGTGTGGTCGGCCCTGGCGCAGGGGAGTCGACACAGCGATCGGAGGGGCTTGGTGGAAGCTAGCGCGGAGTGATGGGACAGCATCTTGATCACCAACACGCGGCAGCTTTAATTGATAATTAGCAGGTCGCTAGGGAAACGTCCTCATTTTGTACGGATTGAGAGGAGCAGAGAGAGGGTGTTAGGGAGAAGAGGAGGAGAAGGAGCCGCGCATACACTACTAACCATGGGGACCTGAATATTTTTTTCTGCATAGCTCCGCACCTCGTAATCTAGGCATATCAACTTCGGAAAGTCTGGCCGGGATGAATGCGGGAAGCCGCAGGAATGGATGGTGTATGCATCGCTGCTGAGACATGGGCAGGAGGAGACTATGAACGAGAAACTCCGACAAGGGCTCACAGATTCGTGTCGAGTCAAGAGACTTTTGGACCTGACGGCGACGGGAGCCAATCTGAACCGGGTGGCTGGCAAATTAACGTGGAGGGGTTAAAGGTCACGACACCTAGGCCCCTCAGCAAGCTGCCGTAATTCGCCGTGGCAGGCAGCTGTTCTCTCACGCAGTGCTTCGGGTCAGGCAGAGACCAACCAGCGTTGACAATGCTGAGATACAGTAGGGTTGGGGTAATCAGTCCCCGGTCTAGGCTTGCCACCAATTTTCCATCGGGTGCAAAGATAGGATGTCCGAACACTAGGAGGCGGTCGTCGTTCGTGGCCGTTCCCGAAGTCCCGAAGGAAGCTGACTTGGCCCGAATAGAATGCGGGGGGCTGGTTAGTGTTCAAATATGCCAAGCTTCGGATGGGATCCACGGAGATAGTGTGGAAACTCTGATGGACTAACCCACTATGGACGGTTGATACTAATTAGTACTAAAGGATCCGAAAGACTTCTAAGGAAAAGGTCTGCCTAGAGGCCTTGTCCATGTACTTTCTGGAGTACAATGTCCCTTCATGATCAAGGCCTAGTACTTTCTCTTGCCCCGTGAAGAACTCGTCAAAGCATGGTCTCTACCTCTTTGTACCGTCTCTGGCTATATAATGGGAGACTAGTCTGATAAAAGAATACATTAGGTGCTCTATTGCCAAAGCTGTTTCTTGTGAAATGTCAGTACCTTTTGATTTTAGCCCAGCTCTTGCACTTTCTGTTCACGGAATGATGCTATTCTATAAATTCAGTTTTCACCTCGCGCAAAGATACAAAGCGGAATCAGTTGCTGTTCTGTTCACTGGTGCCGCTAATGCTGGCAAAGTTGCTGTGCACCGAACATATATTTACTAGTAAGCAACCTCAGTGAATGAGCAACATCCTCTCGTACATCTGGTTGAGTTTTCGCTGGCTATTTACGAAAGGGAGTTGAGAAGCCCTAGCACCCTTCTGCCCGTACCAATGATAGTGGTGTCAAGCCGTACTCATCCTTCAAGTCCGCCCTAACATCATTCCGCTCAACCAGTAGCTTCACCACTTCTTCATGACCACAAAGGGCTGCCAGTAACAGCGGCATCAGACCATAACTATCCTTCGAGTCTGCCTCCACATCATCCCGCCACAGTAGCAGTTTCACCACTTCTTTATATCCACCCTCAGCAGCATGCGACAGTGGCGTCCAACCATCGTTGTCCTCCGAGTCCGCCTTAACATCATTTCGCTCAACTAGTAGCTTCACCACTTCTTCATGTCCACCCTCAGCAGCATGCGACAGTGGCGTCCGACCATCGTTATCCTCCGAGTCCGCCTTAACATCATTCCGCTCAACCAGTAGCTTCACCACCTTTGCATGTCCACCCTCAGCAGCATGCGACAGTGGCGTCCGACCATCGTCATCCTTCAAGTCCACCTTAACATCATCTCGCTCAACCAGTAGCTTCACCACTTCTTCATATCCGCACCCAGCTGCGTACGATAGTGGTGTTCGACCATTCTTGTTCTTCGGGTCCACTTGAGTACTATTCTTCGCTAATAGCAGCTCTTTCAGTCTGCCCTCAGCTTCTTCTGCGAGAAGGTGCAAGACTGTGTTCCCATTTTCATCCTGAACAGAAGTGTGTCGGAACGTCAAGACTTGGGCGAGGTCAGGAACGGCGCGTAAGAGTGATAATTGGTCACGAGGGTTGAGATTCTCCGCCGTGAGGAGAATGATCTCTCTCGGGAGATAAGCACGATCTTTTGGCGTTCTCATCGTCTAGCGCATGAGAGATACGGAAAGATAATAAAAGGCCACAGCAGTCTAGTCTCCTTCTTGCCACGCTTAGAGACGTTGCTAGCCTCGAATGCTGTTTGGGGAAGATGTGGTTGTTAGCAGATGTTCGGGGCATTCCGTTCCGTTATATGGTTGTATTCCTGCTCATTCTAGATATCTCTTCCATTCCACTTTCTCAGGATCATAAATAAGGAGAAACTTCGAGGTGATAACGTACTTAGGGGCGGGCTCTGCTTGAACTTGTCAGCATTGTCAGTCCTCCAAAGCAAAGCGAGAGTGGATGTGAAATGCCAGCAGCGGACCTTGCCTTTTCCTAGTGCAAAGTTGACAAGCTTTCTCGAAGCCTTTTTAGGGTTGGAACCTCGTGGAAAGATCAGCCCGCGCGAGAGCATCCGAATCCTGCGGCCGCATTACCCGTGGTTCGGATGGAAGGGCTGCATGACTGGTCTAACAAACGGCAGAAGCGAACTTAGATAAATCAGTCGAGAGCGAGGGTGGACTGCAACGGGTGAGGACTGATGGTCGGAAGAGTTAATTCTCTAGATTATAATTAAAAATCTGCCGAATATTGCTTATGATTGTCGTGGTTAAATCAACGCTGCAAAAAGCGACAATTCCCAACGGCCAACTGTGGTCATCGGTAACCGGTGGGCCCTACCGGGGTGTTCATGCTGAAAGACAATCAGATCGTCTTCAGCCGACAAGTCGTCGAGGCATATGATCTCTACGCCTAGCTTGAACATATATCAAGGGTTTGAGCCTTGTCTGAAGGATCAAATACAATCACGGTTCTCACAAGCAATGAGAAGCGCGCCTCTTCAGACAACAGTGCTGTGAGGCATTGGCAGCCCATTTTAGTATGTTATGGTCTTCACTCCGCATGATGAGCGAAACTACAGTAACTCGCGTCAGATGACTGACTTGGCCTTGTCGTCGCTCCCAGCCAAGTCCGGATACAGCCATCGGCTGGGGATGGATACGCTTGGTCGGTGACGGAATCCAAGAAGAGCCTGTTGCAGTGCTACCGTGGAGCTAGAGCAAGATTCAAAACAAATGCCTCACCTGATTTTCTAATGAGACATTTTGATATTACAGTTCCTAATAGTTATCAAGCCGACAGAGCTTCTTTAATCGTCTCTCCGCTTCCTATCTCGCAGAAAATTACGCTAAACAGTCGAGTTACAGGCCCTTAAAATCAGGGAACTTTTTTTTTCTTAAAAAAAAAAAGCAATTTTTCGGTTATGAAATGTGCCAAGTGAAGTCGATTCTGGATAAGCTAAATCCGGTGCAGCGGTTTAGGGGGGCAAAATGTGTTTCCAAATCAGTGCAGCAGGAGTAAGCCAATACGCACTGCCGCACACATGTATTGGCTGCCATCTGGCAACTATATCCCCACCGTGCCCCATCCTTTCCTTATTACTCCAGCCTAACCGGCCCTTACATTTTTTACAAAATTACAGACCCTCCTAACGGAGGGTCCGCCACCCATATGAAAGGGATCACCCAAATGACAGATTTTTTTTAAATTTACCGTTTTCACATTGATCCTCCACCACGCAGCCTAACATGCCTAAAACCAATAAAGAAATAGAGATCCAGATTGAGAAAGCAATGGACTCTCTCTCTGAGCAATCTAAACCCAATATTGCAAAAACTGCGCGAGAATTCGCGGTCCCCGAAGGTCGACTCCGACGGCGATGGAAAGGTGGAAAATCGCTTTTTCAAAGAAAACCCAATGGCCGGAGGCTTAATTCCATACAAGAGCAGGCTTTATGTGAATATATCAATTACTTTGATACGGTCGGAGCCTCGATAAATCGCCGTCAAATTGCTATTGCAGCCAATTCAATCCTCGAAGAAGACCACCATGACGAGAGCGAACCGCCCCCTCAAATCGGCGACCACTGGCTAAAACGTTTTCTCAAACGTAATCCTGAGTACTATGTACGACGGAGGAAGGCTCTTGATGTTGAAAGAAGTGCTGCACTTGATAAATCTGTTGTTGAGAGGTGGTTTCAAGACTATAAACAAGTGGTGACTGAGCACGGTATATGCCAGCAAGACATCTACAATTTTGATGAAACTGGCTTTCAAATTGGTGTCGGACGTGATCAATTTATCATTACTAGACATCCAAAAAAGAAGCTATTCAATGGATCTATCACAAACCGAGAATCTGTGACTGTTTTGGAGGCTGTTTCTGCTGATGGTTTTGCCTGCCCGCCGCTTATTATTCTAAGTGCAAAGCAAGCCTTAGCACGCTGGTTTGATGCTATTAAGGAAGATGAGCATCTAGCTGTCACTGACACCGGCTATATCAATGATACCTTAGCATTCCAGTGGATTCAGCTATTCCATAAGTGGACTATTGGCCGTACACTAGGTGCAAAAAGGCTTGTGTTATGCGACCGTTTTGGAGCCCATATGACGCGTCAATTCGTCCAATTTTGTGAGAAGAATAATATCATTTTATTCTTTTTACTCTCGCATACTAGTCATGTATTACAGCCTCTCGATGTCGGAGTGTTTAGTGTTTATAAACACTGGCATAGTGAGGTTGTCGAGGCCGCAACAATGACTGGATGCCGCAAGTTCTCAAAGGATGAATTCCTACATTCCATAGGGGAAATTCGTCGAAAAACCTTCAAACCGCATACAATTAAGCTTGGATTTAAATTGACAGGCCTTTGGCCTATTAATTCTAAGCTTATTACCGACGAATTAGAGTCATACGATCCATACTATGACAATCTATACCGGTCGAATACACCATCAATAAACTCACAAAACACTGAGTTTAGCACCCCAAAAACCGCTGAAAAAGTGAGAAGAATAAGCCTACGGCTTAATCAATATGATCCTACAACTCGGCATTTCAAAGAGGGGTTGGCAAAGCTTGCAAAAGGTGCTGAGGCGCAGGCTACTTTAGCTCTCCACCTACAGCGGGAATTCGATCGAACACAAGCTATCATGGGAGCTCGCCACGCCCGGTATGTTGCATCTCGCCGTCATGTACGGATTACCAGCATCATG